TGAGGGTGTTGCTTTCAGGTTTACTGGGGGGGAGGGTGGCAGAAGGTGGCCTAGGTAACATTCTCTGGATACCCTAGGCATTCTTTTTTTTTTCTCCTTCCCCACCCAGGGGTCAATCTGGGGACAATGGCACAATCTGGGGAGTGAGGAGCTCACCCTGAGGGCCCTGACAGTTCACCGAGGGCAGCCCGCCCCAGGCAGAGGGCCATGATGGCTCGCCCTGACCCGGGGGCCAAGGGCAGCCTGCCCCGGGCAGAGGGCCGAGGGAAGCCCGCCCCAGGTAGAGGGCCACGATGGCTCACCCCGAGCCAGGGGCCAAGGGCAGCCCACCCCGGGCAGAGGGCCGAGGGAAGCCCGCCCCAGGTAGAGGGCCACGATGGCTCACCCCGAGCCAGGGGCCGAGGGAAGCCCGCCCCGAGTAGAGGGCTGCAACGGCTCACCCCAAGCCGGGGGCCGAGGGCAGCCCGCCCCGGGCAGCAAACAGAATTTTTGTGTGTGTGCCATCAAATCAGATCTGACTGATACAGGAGATTGCCCCTCCTTCTTCAGCAGAGTATCTGGTCGATTTGAACTGTGCACCTCTAGGACAAACAGAAATTTTTAGGGTGCTAGAAGTAAAAATTCAGAGTGCTGGCTCTGGGGGAAGGCCTAGTCTCTCCACTGGTTGTGAAGGAAGTCTATTCCCTTCAGAAATTATAAGTTCTGCTTTCCCAAGAGATCTCCATGTGTCTTGGCCTTCTCCAGTGCTAAGTAGATTCTTTGTACATGTCTTGAACAAGTAGATGGTTCAGGTCCAAAAGATATATTCTACTCCTGGCAATTCTTTCTTGATAGTAGGGAGTTCCCCTCCTCTCAATTTCCATTTTTTACCTTTTACATCAATGCCCTAGGGAAAGTCCCCTTATATCAGACTAGGGCTATAATGGGAGTAAAGGGTGTTGCATTTGCATTCTACCTTTTACCCATTTGGTTTTCATATCATAGGAGATCATTATATAGCCTTCACATTAATTATTGGGGAAATACAATTCAATCTATGAAATCACCTGTCACTGAAATTAGGGAAATATGGTTGTTAAAGTATATAATACTCAATTATTTTCATTTCCTTCCACAATGAACAACATTTGTGAATTAACTGAGAAAACACCAGGTGCCAAAGCAGTTTTAGAGGATCCCAAGATCATTTAAGAATACAAAATTTTAATTTATTCAAATACTGTAAGAATATTTGCTGGAAAAAAAATTTTTAAAAAAAGAATACTTGCTGGCAGAGTGGGTAATAAACCCAGAATTCTAGAACAGATCACTTCTACCTCTGAAAAATGTACAAATAAATTTGTGGCCCTACCAATCCTGACTATTCTGGAAGACATATGCTCTAAATGATTTCTAGATGAGGTAACAGGTTCAAGGTCCTTTCCTTAACATTCTCAAATAACAGAAAACTTTAAAAGTACCTTGAATTTTATGACTGAGATCTCAAAAATGGAGTCATCACGTAAAGTTTATATCTGACCCATAACTATATGTAATGACTTATGGTCTTGACTTCTAAACAAAAGGTTTCAAAACTTGTCATTTTAAAGAATTATAAAAGTTATATTATAAAATATATAAAAAGTTATAAAAGGAAAACAAAACAAGAATATGGAAAAAAAAACCCACAAACCCCCAAAACAACCCAAGTTTTCAACCTAGGATTTTCTAGACAACAAGAAGTGGAGAAAGCATTCTGGATGGTAAATTCAGATAGGCCACATACGATCAGCTTTC